TTTAAAAGATTGAACAAAATTAAGAGAGAAAAATGAATTGCAAGTGGAAAAGTGATAGTGAAAGTGAGCAACGTATATATAGGAAAATAGGAGACTTAATTAATAAGAAAAAGGTTTAAAGAGAATGATTACTAGCATTAATGATTCCTAAAAAGAGGGATAATGTAAAGATATGAAACAGTTACCGATATGACACGAGTCTCAATGCATCCAATCAATGTTTCAGTCTCTTCAGAATTTTAACATTGTTCAGCCTTAGAGAAAAACCGTGCGTGGAGTTGACAAATGTTGATATTGTGAACTGCAAGCTTCTATCTTTGAAATGAACCGTTTGGAGAACATTCAGATCTTCTTAGATAGATCCTAATACAACTTTCCTTCTTAATTATGAATAATTATTGATCAGATGTTCACACAAAAAATAAAGGCATAAAGTTCTGAGGGTTAATGTATACATAAACAAAAATATCATTTTGGGCATAATTTTATGCTGAGATGTTTCAGAATGAAATTAAACCTATCTTCATAAAGGGTTCAGTGAAAATATCATCCCATTGATGGTTTGTGTCTATAAATTTTAATGAAAGAATTCCTCTCTAAATATAGTCCCTAATAAAATGATGTTTAATTTCTATATGCTTAGCCCTGGAATGTAAAATGGGATTTTTTGAAAGACATATATCAGAAGTATTGTCGTGGAGAATAGGAATGTTACTCTCATATATGTTGAAGTCTTCAAGTTGTCTTTTCATCCATAGCATATGTGTGCTGCATCCAGCTGCTGCTATATATTCAGCTTCAACAATTGATAATGCAATGGTGGATTGCCTCTTGCTGGACCACGAGATTAGATTGTCTCCTAGAAATTGGCAGCTTCTAGAAGTGCTTTTCCTTTCTATTCTGTCTCCAACGAAGTCAGTATCACAGTACCCTACTAATTTGTATTCTTTGGTTTTCCTATAACAAAGACCAAGATTAGTAGTACCTTTCAGATACTTAAAAATTCGCTTACCAACTGTTAAGTGAGATTCCCTAGGATCTGATTGGAATCTAGCATACAGACAGACACTATAATGAATATCAGGTCTTGAAGCTGTTAAATATAAGAGAGAATAAATCATACCTCTATAGATCTTCTGTTCTACCTTCTTACTTACCTCTTCCTTTTCCAAAATGCATGTGGGATGTATAGGAGTTTTGGCTGGCTTACATTCTGACAATTCAAATTTCTTCAGAAGTTCTTTGACATACTTTCTTTGATGTATGTCGGTTCCTTCTGGAGTTTGATTGATTTGGATACCCAGAAAGAACTTGATTTCTCCCATCAAACTCATTTAAAATTCTGGAAACTAGATCAAAGGTTTCTGTATAGTCTATCCCCTCTTGCTGACTATAACCTTGTGCCACCAATCGTGCTTTGTTTCTGACAACGTCTCCTTTTTTATTTACTTTGTTTCTGAATACCCATTTGGTTCCAATGATGTTAAACCCTTTTGGTTTAGGAACTAGATCCTACACATCGTTTCTGGTGAACTGGTTTAATTTTTCATGCATTGTAAGTATCCAATCATTGTCTAGGAGAGCTTCGTCAATGAAAGTTGGCTCAATCAGAGATATTAATCCCATTATATATTCTTCAGAATTTATGAATATAGATCTTGTTCTGATTGGGTCTTCTTTCTTTCCCAGAATCTTGTTTTCGGGATGAGCTAAACTACTTCTGGATTGTCTTTTCTTGAGAGGCTCTTCAGATGTTGTTGTAATGTTTCTGACAGCTTCTTCTAGAGTTTATTGTGATTCTTTGTGAGCAACTTCGGATGCAGTGTCTTTAGTACCTGTAAATTGAACTTCTATATATGCAAAAAAAAATACCCTGCTTTGACTTTTGAGAGCCAAGCTTATCATCAAATCTGACACGGATAGACTCTTCTATAATCTGTGTTTCTGTATTATATACTCTATAACCTTTTAAACATTCAGAGTATCCTAACATGAGACACTTTTGTGCTTTAGAGTCAAACTTGTTCATATGTTCTTTAGTGTTTAGAATGAAATAAGTACATCTGAATGGATGAAAATAAGAAATGTTGGGCTTTCTGTTCTTCCACAGTTCATATGGAGTCTTATCCAGAATATGTCTTATGGAGGTTCTATTCTGAATATAACACGTTGTGTTAATTGCTTCTTCCCAGAAGTTCTTAGCAATGTTAGTCTCGTTGATCATGGTTCTGGTCATTTCTTGAAAAGTTCTATTCTTTCGTTCTACAACTCTGTTTTGTTGAGGAGTTCTAGGAAAAAAGAAATCATGAGAGATGCCATTCTCATTAAAAACTAATTCAAATTTTTTGTTTTCAAATTCCCCACCATGATCACTTCTGACTTTAACAATTCTAAGATCTTTTTCATTTTGGACTTGGTTACAGAAAGCAAAGAACACAGAATGTGACTCGTCCTTGTGTCTTAAGAACTTTACTCATGTCTATCTGCTATAATCATCTACGATCACTAATCTATAATTCTTGACACTAATGGATACAGTTCTCACTGGTCAAAATAGATCTTTATGTAGAAGTTCTAATGGTCTAGAGGTAGAAACAACATTTTTATTTTGAAAGAAGGTTTTGCAAACTTGTATTTTTGACAGGCTTCACACAGAGCATTTGAGTTGAACTTCAGGTTAGGAAGTCCTCTGACCAGATTGAGTTTGTTAATCTGAGATATCCTTGTCATACTAACATGCCCCAATCTTCTGTGCCAGACCCATTTCTCATTGTTAACAGACAATAGGAATTTTACATTCTGACTTTTTAGTTTAGAAAGTTTTATTTTTTAAATGTTGTTCTTTCTCTTTCCATTAAAGAGGACTGATCCATCTTTCTAATTAACTTCTTTACATGACTTTTAATTGAAGATTATATCATAACTGTTATCACTTAATTGACTTATGGATAACAGGTTATGCATTAATCTGTCTACTAACAGAATATTAGTTATAGAAGGAAGTGTAATGTTACCAATAGTTCCAGAGCCAATAATATTTCCTTTCTGATTGCCTCTGAAACCTACGTAGCCTCCAGATTTAAGCTTTTGGCTTTTGAACATATGCTTTCTTCCCGTCATGTGTCGTGAGCATCCAGAGTCTAGGTACCAAGATTAATGTTTCAATATTGTTGTTAAAGACATCTGTAACATAGAAAAAATTTGTCCTTAGATACCCATATCTTTTTGAGTCCTTGTTTGTTAGAGTTGCGAAAATTCTGTTTGAATTTTGGTTTAGCGGAAAAAGTATTACTAGTATACTTTACGTCATGTGTGTGCCCATAGGTGAAGTGATAATAAAGAGGTGTGTGTTTTATGACCATATCCTTAACTTTCTTAAGTTGAGATACTTTACCCTTGTATCTTATTCCTTTTCTGTCATTTCTGCTAACTCCATAGATCATTGAAGCCATCTTGCTCCTACCAAATTCTTTGAACTCAGATGCCCTAAGCTTCTGAAGTATGGATGCCACAAAATCTTGAGCCACAACTTACTCTCATTTGCAACACTTGTTACACTAAGGCATTAAATGTATGTTGTTTTAACATTCACCTTAAATGTCCTACTTCTTTCTAGTCCAGACTGCATAATCAGCTTCTGATTACAATCATACAACTTCAAGAGATTGTTCTTCATGGTTACTGAAAAACCTTTTTCAATCAGCTGACCTACGCTTATCATATTGCTCTTCATGCCAAGAACATATCATACATCCTTAATTAGAGCAGTGTTTCTATTCTGCAATTTCACTCTGACATTTCTCATTCCTTCAGCATTCAGATACTTATCATCAAAACATCTGATCTTGGTGTGGATACGAGTGTGTTTCTTTCTTCTTCCTCGTTTCACATTGCACGTTTCTTTGCGCTTCCATTGGATGTACTGCAATCGCCCATGTAACCGTTATTGACGAGATCAAGAACATCTTGAACGCCAACACATACATCTAAATTGACCACTGATTCCAATTATTTCTTTAAAATACTGGAAGTTTTGTGTTCAAACTACCGTTTTTGTTGTTCATCTTCGATCTTGTGCAAATCACTCAATTCTCTCCAACACTCGTGTTTCCCAATCCCGTAAAATTAAGAAATGTGATTCTCTTTAATTTCGATCTTCAATTCAGTGTGAATTTGAGAAACAAATTCAATCACATACCATGCGTAGACCTGTGTTTCTCTATAAACAGCACCAGAATTCTGAATACTAATTGTTGGAGTTTACACCTCCATTAAAGCACAAGATGAAGAAGATGAAGATGAAAAAAAGGTTTCATAGAGAGAGAGAAGAGAGAGAAACATAACAAACTTCTCTATCTTAAAATATAAAAACTAAATTATGTTATAAATGCAACTACCAATGTGTTTATATACTGACACCCAAATGTAAATACTCACAAAATTAAATTTAAATGCAAACTAAAGTCTAATACAAATTAAACTAAAGCTATTTTAAATTTGGATTACATTTCATGACCCATTAATTTATTGGATGGAACAAATCCTTGACAATATAGCAAGACACACATTAAATCTTTAATGAAAAATCTATCCACATTTGTGTCATGGTCAACCTCGAAAACAATTGCTTCAAATGGGGAGGCATGTGAAAAAAAATGTTGGGATCCTAACTATAACTTCATAAATTACAATAATATATTCCATAGTTTTCCCACAAGTTGCATTTCTATCTGCATTTTTTAAAGGTATACTTCCACCGTAAACATGGCCCTTTAACTCAACCTAACGTGGAAAAACTTCTTTGGTTTTCGCATATGCATGTGACACACAGAAATGTTGAATCCCTTATTATAATATCTAGTAAAAAATAAGTTTTCATTATATTATTGAGAAATGCAAACTTCCAAAGTCACAATCCTTCTATAAATTGGAAACATGCAACCTCTTCAAAACCAAGTTCATCACAAAAACAAAGAGAATCTATCTACATATTCATCACCATGGATCAAAAGAAATGTAACAAAATAAGAGAAATTGTTAGACTTCAACAGATCCTTAAGAAATGGAGAAGAATAGCAAACTCATCAAAAACCACAACCACAACAACAACAACCTTAAACAACAGCCTCACTAGAAGCAAAAGCATGAAGTTTCTGAAAAGAACACTTTCCTTATCAGAACGAGAAGGAGGAACAACAACAACCTTAAACAATGGTTCGATTCCAAAAGGCTACTTAGCGGTTTGTGTTGGACAAGAGCTAAAGAGGTTTATCATACCAACAGAATATTTGAGTCATCAAGGTTTCATGATTCTTTTGAGACAAGCTGAAGAAGAATTTGGGTTTCAACAAGCTGGTGTCTTGAGATTTCCTTGTGATGTTTCGGTTTTTGAGAGTGTTTTGAAGATGGTTGAAGATGGAAAGAAGAATGAGAAATTGTGTAATCAAGAATGTAGGTCAATTAGCATTGAAGAAATGATGGGTTATTGTTCTTTGGAAACTCAACTTGCTTGTTCTCATCATCCTCAAAGTCCATTGTGTAGATAGTTTCATTAATATTATTTGATGTTGCAAAAATTTGTATCCATTTTATTTGTCTTTTGTTTTTCTTTTTTTTTTCTTCTTCTCCCAAGAAATAAATAATGTATGAGAGAAAGATAGAGAATCCATTTGGACTTTCATATTGTTAATCTTTTGTTCTAGAAATTTATTCCACTTCTCTCATTACAGTTATATGTTCTTTTTATTTGTAATGCTCTTTCTCTCTCTTACTAAATGTTGTTCTTTATTATTCGCTCCTTCTCATAATAGACGTAGCCTTTTTCTTTTATTTGTCTTAAATTATTTATTCATTAAAATATTAATATAATATTTATTATTTTTTCTATTAGTTGACTCTTATTTATTATATTTTAATTCATATAACTATTTCATTATCTATTATTAATAAGATTATTTTAATAAATAAAAATTATTTTATTATTAAAATTAACATAATTAATTACTATTTTAAAAAATATGAAAATCTCAAAGATGACATGTATCGTGAGATGGTGAGAGTAATATTCATTTATTTATTACTATATTTTGTGGGAGTAATATTCATTTTTTTATTACTATATTTTAACTTATACAATTACATGTTCTTTATGATTACATTTATGTTGTTCTCTCTTACTAAATGTTGTTATCGAGTAGTACTTTACACTATTAAAGTATTAAATGTTGTCCTTTATTTGTATATATTTATTTACCATAGTTTAACTTATTTAAATATTTTACGAAGTATAATTAGTAAAAATGATTTAATAGTTCTATTATAATTTTTTTTATATAATTAAGATTATACATAAATAATAGATAAATAGATAACAAAAATTTTTCATTGACAAAATTATTTTTTTTAAAACTACATTTAGTATTTTTTAAAGAATACAATATTATTCTTCATAAGTCTTTTATATTATTTATAAAAATTGATTGATTTTAGTATTAGAAAATCAAAAGTGTTGAAGATAAATGGTATAACATTTGCTATTTTTGTAAGATTTAAGTTTTTGCCTTAATTTGTAATTTGTTTATAGAAATTTTCTTTAATGTTAGTGCGTTACACATTTTTAGTGTTTTTAGTGAGAAAAAAAAAGTGAGAATAATGAAATAAGAATTTTGTTATAAATTGAATTGTACAAATTGGATTACAAACTATGTCTATTTATATATAACTAACTTGTACACTAAGTAGGCTAATAAATTCTAGTTGCGTTTGGATTTGTATTATTCAACTTGGATTATATCTTATATCTCAACACACCCCCATATAATTCAAGTTTTCGAACATACACTAATCATAGTCGATATGAACTATTCCTAATTTCTTTCTCAAATTTAGAAATTTGTCGATCTTTTCAATCCTTTTTGTGAAAATATAGGCCAATTGTGCATCACTTAGGAAATGTCTTACTTCAAGTTCACCTCGATTTACCTTCTCCTGGAGGAAGTGAAATCTAGCTTCGATATGCTTACTTCTTCCATGCAAAACTAGATTCTTTGTAAGATTTATCTCTGACCTGTTATCGATCTACAACACTAGGGGTTTCTTCACTTCGACTTTCATTTCTTCAAGCACAAATCTCATCCAAATTGCTTGACACATGACATATGATCCCTCTATATATTCAGTCTCACATGTTGACAATGCCACCACAGATTGCTTTCTCGAGCACCATGAGATTAAGGCACCAAAGACTTGAAAGAAATAATCAATTATGCTTCTTTGTTCTTCCTTATTTCCACACTAATTAGCATCTGAATAGAAAGTAATTGTAGTTTCTTTTCTTTCGGAATCTTGTTGAAATAGAATTCCATAGTTTATTGATCATTTTAAGCATCTTAAGATTCTTCTTGCAACTTTCATGTGTGACATCATTGATTTACTCATGTATTTGCTCACTAATCTGATTGTGAAACCTATATCAGGTCGACTGTTGCACACATATCTCAGATATACCGATTTTTTTTTGAACAAAGTAGAATCGACCTTGTCCTCCTCTCCATGTTTCTCCGGTTTCAAGTTTGGTTCGACAGCTGGGGGGCAAGATTCGACTCATCCCTTATGAATCTCTTGAGTTTCTCTTTCACATACTTCCTTTGATGTAGCACCATACCTTTCTTCGACATTTGAAATCCCATGCCTAAGAAATAATACAGATTTCCCATATCCGACATTTTAAATTCCCTCATCATCAGCTCTTTGAACTTCGACAAGTTCTCCAAGCTATTTTCAATTACCAGCAAGTCATCGACATATAAACAAATGATTTTATATTTTGTGTCACGACTTGAACATCGACACCATACTCAGACTTGCATTTTACAAATTCTAATTCTATTAAGTATGAGTAGGGATATCAATTTGCATCTGTTAATGGGATCTCTGCGGGAATTATCTGTTCAGAGCACCGCTGTTGAAGAGTTTTTCCTCCGCGAGTATGAGGATGGAGGTAAAAGTTCTCCCGATAATACTTTAGAGCGGGAATTGGGAAAGTACCATTCGCCGTATGGATTCCCTGACTCCGACCTTATTATTTAACTTTTATATTTTATATATTATTTAATTTTACATAAAAAATATTAATGTATTAGAAAATGAAGAGCCATTACTGGATCATTTTATTTTTATGTTTTATTGTATAATATTATTTCACTACCTAAGTACCCAACCCTATAAAAGTGCACCCACTATATAGGATGTACACACTGTCTCCTCATTTTCTTTTCTCAATCATCTTTGTCTCCTTCATTCATCATCTCCTCTAATCTCATCATCATAACAACCACTCTTCTTTGTTCATTGCGCATATGGTAATTACTATTCAAATTAACTTTACTTCCATTAGTACATGTTTTTCGTTCAATTAATAATTTAGTAGTTATAGATTTTTTACACTCACACATAATCAACCACTTGCGCTAGACGACATCCACGCTATGGTTGTAAATTAGCAGAAGCATGGTAGCAATAGGTTATGTTAATAATTATTGTTTTTTTTACAGAAAAACATTAGCAACATCACGTGCTTTTTCTTTTTTTTGGTTATTGATGCAAGATGTAATTTAAAAAAAATGAAATATAAAAAATATGTGTTTTAAAAAAAAGGAAAATAAAATAAAATACTAGTGTTAAAATTTTGATCGAAAAATATAGAAATTTTCTTAAGATTCGATCACCGTGGATCTCCGTGGGAATCTGTGGGAACGAGGATGAATGAGAATATTCTCCCGTGACGGAGTTTGGGGATGTGGATGGGGAATAAATTTGACGGAAAAACATCCTCCGAACATTCGTTGTCCCATTGACATCTCTAAGTATAAGTCAATTTTCTTGATCTATGTCCTAGATGTCAACTTGAGACCATAGAATATTTTGTGCAATTTATACATCTTACTCGCTTCCTTCTGAATCACAAATTCAAAAAATTGTGTGACATAAACTTTTTCGTCTAAAAAACCATAATTGATTTGAATTTGTATTCCTAAACTTAAATTATATCTTATATCTCAAAATTTACAAGTTTATACTCCAACCACACAAAAGTAACTAACTCACGAAAAAATATTTAATCTAATGAAATCATTTGGAACTTGAAAAATGAAGGTTAAGTATGAATGGAAACATTTAACCGAATGAAAACGTTTTCATTTTCAATCATAAGTAAAATATTTTTTCTTGGAGATATAAACATGTTCTAAACGAGTGAAGAGAATCTAGCTTGTTCTAAACCTTCTTTAAAGATGTTCCCTCTCTTCTTTACTAATTGTCGAATTTATAAAAAAACAAATGGTTTTATTTATTTGTTTTTTTCTAAAGTTCAATGTAACATTATAGTACTTATTATACATATTTAATATAAATAGATAAAAAGATAAAATAAAATAAGAAAAAAAATAAAAATATTATATAAAAATAAAAATAATAAATTAAAAAATAATAACATGTAAGAGATGATCTTTTATTTGGATCTCACAAAATTTGAGAGATTATTTTTCAAAATTGTGTGCAGATAATATCTAATTTATATCAACAAAAGTCTTTGATCAAATATGTAAAGTAATATTATTAATCTAGAAACGAAGTAAAAGGTGCATTATAAGAACACAAGTCATCCTTCATTTTCTTTTATAAATCTCTTTTGTATTTTAAATATATTTAAAAATTTAATTGAAATACATTAATAATATATAAATATTTTACACTATCAAATAACTACAAAGTTGATAAGTTTAAAATATTTTAATGTTATTTTAATTTTTTTGAAGTGATACAATGGAATGGTTATAATATATTATTGATGATGTAAATTTTTTTAACTGACTGTACATTTATTAATTGAACTATATATTTAAAACAAAATATAAAACATACATTTATCTTTTAAAATAAAATAATATTTTGTTTGTTTCTTTTTAATTGTTGCATTTATAGAAAAGTTAATTCTTTTCAATTATTGTTTTCAAAAGTTTGATATATATTAATTATTAATTTATCAAATAAATTTATTAAATATTTATTGTAATAATTAAATAAATAATATAAAATAATAAATAATTAAAAACATTTAATAAAAAGAAAATACTTATAATTAAAATCATAATATGTATCTTATAATTAAAATAAAGTTAGTATTTAAAATATTTTATCTAAATGACTTTATAATTACTAATTATTAGTCGGTTCAATGGTGATTGGTGTTGGACTTTATAGAGAGGACCACAGTTCAATCTTCCGCAATTCCTGAACAAGATTATATCGGTGGTGAAATTTTTTTTATAATTAAAGATAAAAATCATAACCAATATCAATAATTATAATAAAGGTTGGTTGAGATAATTCAACTGATACTCCCTTCGGTCTTATTTATAAACAAAATTCTTCTAATTTTGTTGACCTTTAATATAAGCAAATGACAATAAATATAAGTACATTTAATGTCTTTATTCAAAAATAATCTTCACGGTAATTACTTAATATTGTTAGTAGATGATAATTC